CTGCCCCTCTTCCCCGCCACTGGTTTCCTCCTTCTGCAGACGAAAGGTGTGGGGTGCCATTGCTTGGCTAGCCTGGGCCCCCTCTGTGGAGCAATCACTGGCCAACCCCACACATCTACCACAGCGTTGCTGGCTGTGTAGCCTAGGCCTCCCTATTTGGAGCAAATGCAGAAACTTCTCCCCTCCCCCACTGATAGATCATCCTGCTGGCCGTTGGCCTGGGCCTCCCTCTATGGGCTGATCATGGTGCGATGGCGGGGCCCCTGGCCAATGGCATCGCACCTGCCTTGCTGGCCTGGAGCCAGTGCATGTCATGCATGGTCGTCAGGAAGGTCATCCGGATGGTCCTTCTGCTATTTGGTTGTTCAGTCGATTTGCATATTACTTTTTTTTTAAAATTATAGATGATTTTCTAGCATAGAGAGTCTGGCACAGAGCCAGAGAGTATCATCATGAAAAACCTTAAATCATATTTATCAGTTTTGACTTAAAAATTGAAGCATTTAAATATTTAAAGATAACAGTGTGGGCTTTATTGCAGAGGGTTAGCAAACAGGGGCCTTTTGCTTTCTCATCTTCTCTGCCCTCAACTTTCTCATTACAACAAAGTCAAAGGTAGCCCAGAAGGGTGAAGGAAACCATGATAAGGTTCACGCCTCTTTGCCTTTGGGCAAAATGTGCTATCCTTTTGAATGAATGGGTAAAAATAATCTCATTCACTTATGAATGTTTTGTAACATTTCTCGGGGCAAATCCGTGCCCTTGATAACAGGACAGGAGATCGAGTTAGTAAGCCATATCTCCACTTCTAAAAACACTCAAGATTTGTGTCCTACTAGCACTGTCATAGCAACTCTGTTACTATTTGACAAAATATTTCTATTGCCATAATATAATCAAACCTTAAACCACACACCTGTGGGCTGGCATCCCTGGGTCACGCTCGGGGAGGACGCTGTCGCGTTGGGTGCTGAGCTGGGGTACAGAGACCCTTCCCCAGCTTTTCCTTGCTCCCTTTGCATGCCTTCATTTCCAGTCTTGCGGTGTCTGCATCCTCATTCAGCCAAAGTTCTAAATCTCTTTCCCTCTCAACTATCTAGGACACATGAGAATTAACCTACTCATGTAGATTACAGGGCCCCAGCCATTATTAACCTTAATATTGAAAGAAATACAGCTTTTTCTGTAGGAGAAGCAGAAATGCCTTCCACATGGCACCAGTAGCAACATGTGCATCAGCTGAGGAAATGTGCTTTTTAGGAAGTTCAGGCAATGCAAATGCTTGCTTACAATCAGTGAAGAGTTCACATATATAATATTGCCGAATTTGTGGGCCCCTTTGAAAACATTATTTAATTGCATCCCTGTGGTTATTTTTATAGCAGATCAAGGTACTGTCTCTTCTGTATTTTCATAATGCCCTTTGAATTATTGATTCGGTCCTGATATTATCACCTTCCTTCCCAGTGGGTACATGGTTGCTATTTGTTGAAGGACCGAACAGTTCAAATTTCATTCTTAAATATTGAACTCAAATGTACCCTACAACCTCCTCTTTTTTAGATGTCAGGCTCTCTGCTTGTCCCCTGTTTGCAAGGCCAACCTTTGCTTTAACGGGATTGAAGTACTGAGTGAGCCTTGGCCATGACCTCAGCCCTCTTCTTTTGGAGATGTTGCTTTTGTTGATGCCACTGAATTTGGAAGAATAGTCACCATTTGGGGGGAGGGAGGAAAGAGACGGGGACATAAATTCATAATCTGACAAGTTAAAGAAATGCCTGATGATTGGCTGGAACCTCAGGGGAGGCAGAAACAGGAAGCATGTGGGGGAGAAGCTGCTCAGAAGCAGACAGGCCCTGACCCTTCGCTGGCAGTATAGTTTCTAGAGGCAAATGAACCTGTGTAAGAAAAGCTGGGCAACGTGCTCAGAACTGGTAACGTGTGAGGCTCTCTCATTTTGCTAAGCCCTGATGACATCCCCTTGCCAGATGGGGGTCAGACTCTTCCAAGAAGGTTACAAAAATCTCCATGACTTTTCTCCTCCATTCCTCCCAAAATAGTCACTACTTTTCTCTTGACCCAAGCCAACAGGCAAATATTCAATTGCCCAGAATAATGTGACACCGTTGATAAGTATGTGTTTCAATCTGTTGGTCATGGGACATTAAATGAGCCTTAAAATCAGTTGAGTAGATTCTAAGCAGCATTAAAAAAAAAAAAAAGAAGAAGAAGAAGAAATTAAGCAGGGCGGAGAATCTATACTAATAAAAGGTTAATATGCTAATTAGACCAGGTTGTCCAGACATCTTCTGGATGTCCAACTTTCTTCAGACAGTTAGGGGCAACCTGGCCAGCAAGGGGGCAATTAGGGGGCAGCCAGGCTGGCAGGGGGCCAGTTAAGGGGCAATCAGAGGTAGTTAGGGGTGACCAGGCAAGCAGGTAGAGTGGTTAGGGGCAATCAGGTAAGCTGGCAAGGGAGCAGTTGGGGGTGACCAGGCCAGCAGTGCGGCAGTTAGGGGGTATCCAGGATGGCAAGGGGACAGTTAGGGGGTGGCCAGGCTGGCAGGAGGGAGTTATGGGGCAGCCATGCTATCAGGGAGCAGTTAGGGGGCAATCAGAGGCAGTTAGGGGTGACCAGGCAAGCAGGTAGAGTGGTTAGGGGCAATCAGGCAAGCCAGCAGAGAAGCAGTTAGGGGGTGACCAGACTGGCAGGGGTAGAGTAAGGGGGTGTCCAGGCAAGCAGTAGGGCAGTTAGGGGGTATCCAAGCTGGCAGAGGGGCAGATAGAGGGTGGCCTAGCTGGCAGGGGGGCAATTAGGGGGCAACTAGTCCAGCAGGAGACCAGTTAGGGGGTGACCAGGCCAGCAGGGGACCAGTTAGGGGTCAATCAGGCCAGTAGGTAAAGTGGTTAGAAGTTATCAGGCAGGCAGGCAGGCAGACAAATGGTTAGGAGCCAGTGGTCCTGGATTGCAAGAGGGATATCTGACTATCAGTAGTGGGACATCCCCTGAAGGGTCCTGGATTGGAGAGGGTGCAGGCCAGCCTGAGGGAACTTCCTCCTGACCCCCTATACATGAATTTCATACACTGGGCCTCTAACAGACTATATTAGAGTATACACTGAGTGGCCATATTAGAGGCCCGGTGCATGAATTCGTGCATGGGTGAGAGGTCCGGATCGACTGGCCAGGGAGAGGGGACATGGGTGGTTGGCTGGCCTGCCTGTTGGTCAAACTCCTGGTTGAGGGGACAATTTGCATATTAGCCTTTTATTTATAGGATATACACGGAGTGGCCAGATTATTATGTGTTCAGAGATCATAATAATCTGGCCTCTCAGTGTAAAGTAGTAGTTAGGGTGAATGATGTATTGTGGAACTCTGTTTCATCCTATCCATGCATATACCAGGTTGCAACATAAAATATTTTTGGTGAGAAAAGTTTGAAAATCACTGTTTATGATGATCAATTTTCAGATATCCCCTTAAAAACTTTTTGTTGGGAATAATATCAAATATACATAAAAGTAGTGATAATTGTAAAATAGACCCTGTCATATCCCCATCTAGTTTCCAAATTGTCTTTTGTAGATGTTACAATCCTATTCATTTCCTTCAGTAATTTATTTGCTCCATCTTAACAAATATAGGGGAGGTTTCAGTGAAAACTCAAGTAATTCTTTCAGATGGTTCAAGTTGTGAATGTTTAGGTCAGCTGGGAGCCCTCGGAGAGGCCTCAGGGAACCACTGGAAAAAAGATGTTTGGAGAGAGAAGTGAGGCAAAACTTACAGAGGCTTCTTGTACTGCCTCTCTGTCTTTTGGGGAAGGTAGCCAGGTCTGTCATCTGGTTTAAATTTTATTTTATTGTTTAAAGTGTTACAAATAGTAGTACATATATCTCCTTTTTTCCCCCATTGGCCTTCCCCCAGCCTTCCCTACCCCCTGGCACATGTCTTCATCTCCTGCATCTTCCTCCTCTTCCCCAGTGTCTTGTGTCTATTAGTTGTGCTTATATGCATGCATACAAGTCCTTCCCCACCCCCTCCCCAGCACTCTCCAGCCTTCCCATGGTACTTTGAATCTGTTGGATGCTTCACTGCCTCTGTGTCTATCTTTTTATTCATCAGGTTATACTATTCTTTATGTTTTTTTTTTCCATTGCCTGGCTCATTTCATTTAGCATAGTGCTCTCCAGTTCTATCCATGTTGCTGCAAATGGTAAGAATTCCTTCTTTTTTTATAGCAGCTTAGTATTCCATTGTGTAGATGTACCATAGTTTTCTAATTTATTCATCTGCTGATGGGCATTTAAGCTGTTTCTAAGTTTTAGCTATTGTAAATTGTGCTGCTATGAACATAGGGGTACATATATCCTTTCTGATTGGTGTTTCTAGTTTCTTGTGGTATATTCTTAGAAGTGGGATTATTGGGTCAAATGGGAATTCCATTTTTAGTTTTTTTGAGGAAACTCCATACTGTTCTCTACAGTGGCTGCACCAGATTGCATTTCCACCAGCAGTGCAGGAGGGTTCCTTTTTTTCCACATCCTCGCCAGCACTTGTTTGTTGATTTGTTGATGATAGCCATTCTGACAGGTGTGAGATGGTACCACATTGTCATTTTGATTTGAATCTCTCAGATAATTGGTGACTTTGAGCATGTTTTCATATGCCTCTTGGCCTTCCTTCTGTCTTCTTTCAAAAAGTATCTATTTAGGTCCATTGCCCATTTTTTTTTATTGGATTGTTTATCTTTTGTTATGTTGCATGAGTTCCCTGTAAATGTTGGAGATTAAACCTTTATCTGTGATAACATTGGCAAATATGTTCTCCCATATGTTCTGTCATCTGGTTTAGCTCAGAAGTTTTGAAATGGAGCTCTAGGGGTGGGAACTGCATTCGTTACCCAAGAGAGTTTCTCATGGAGTGCCATCTCTTAGAGTCCCCATGTGATGCCAGGAGCCTTCCAATGGCTTTCTGCCGCTTTAAAAATAAATCCTATAGCTGTTATACAGCTGGTATAAGCAACATTTGATTTCTGAAGTGTACAAACCATCTTTTCATATTTTCAAGATGTAATTTTACATTTCTGCATTTAAAATCAGTTTGACCATAATCTAAACACACGTTTTTAATCTATATACATGCATATGTGACCTTTGTGAACAGAAATTTGGATGTATTATTTGTGTTTACTTGTAACTTTCTGGTTATATACTGCTTATATCTGTGGATTCAAGTTTCTGATGTGAAATACCAATAAAAACTTAGGTCATGCCGAGACCGGTTTGGCTCAATGGATAGAGCATCGGCTTGGGGACTGAAGGGTCCCGGGTTCGATTCCGGTCAAGGGCATGTACCTTGGTTGCGGGCATATCCCCAGTAGGGGGTGTGCAAGAGGCAGCTGATCGATGACTCTCTCTCATCGATGTTTCTAACTCTCTATCTCTCTCCATTCCTCTCTGTACAAAATCAATAAAATATATTAAAAAAAAAAAAAAAAAAAAAAAAAAACTTAGGTCATGTTCATTGGTTATACATGTTTGAAATGTTAACAACAACAACAAAAAAAGAAAAACAAAGCTCATTTCGAGTCCTACATGACCTAAATGGTCTGGCCTTGTCTCCCTGTTCCTTTCTATCTCTCTTCCCATTCTATAGGGACTGCCCTCTCTATACCCACTCCACTGCCAGGCTCTGGCACATGCTGGCCTCTACATTAAAGTGCTTCCTTTCTCCTGACTCCTGCACTCCCACACCTTTCCTGAACTCATCACAGCTATAATTTATGTTTTTGTAAATGATCATTTGATTAATATCTGACTCCCCTTCAGACAGTTTTGTGAAGACAGAAACCTTCTCTGTTTCTGCTCATCCTGTCATCTTCAACACTAAACACCAGGCCTGCCATTCAGAAAATGTTAAAAATATTTCAGACACAATGAAAATGTCTTTGTACTCCTCCGCAACCCCCGACTCTGGTTTTTCTTCCACTCTCCTGAAATTAGTGCTTATTCTTAACCTATGGCCTGCGTTTTTTATACATTTACTGAATATCCACATATCTACTAAATATCCGTGTAGAAAATACAGGCTATTGTTTTCTCTGTTTAACATTTATACAAATGAGTTATATTCTACTTATCCTCCAGCATGCTGCTTTTTTTCATTTAACATTTAGTTTTCTGTATCTATTCATATATATATATATATAGATAGATAGATAGATAGATAGATAGATAGATATAGATAGATAGATATAGATATAGATATAGATATAGATATAGATATAGATATAGATATGAATACACACACATATCACACACACACACACACACACATAAAAATTCCTGCAAGCAGTCACAGCCACAATCTTGGCCACCACCACTGCACTGCTGCCCTGCCCACCCCGCCCACCCAGCCCGCCCCACCCTGCCAGCCACCACTGCTGACCACCCTGCCTGTGCTTTCCCTCTGGCAGCTGCCTTGCTTTCCCCTTTCTCTCCCTCTTCCTTCTATGCTGTCTTCAATCTTCACTCCTCCCTCCCTCAGTCTATGCAAATTAACCACCATCTTTGTTGGGTTAATTTGCATACTTGCTCTGATTGGCTGTGGAAGTAGTGAAGGTATGGTCAATTAGCATTTTCCTCTTTTATTAGTATAGATATGTGTATATATAGATCAATTTTATTCAGTTTTTAAATATGTACTAGTTAGTGTGCCATCAAATGAATAAATATCATTTTAATACTTCAGTCATTGAATTTTGTGATTTTTATTTACTATGCATTTCCTTTTGTTTGTTTTCTTTTCTTCTTTTACTGAAAATTATGGATTGAATTGTTGTGTTCTCCCAAAATTTATCTGTTGAAGCCCTAATCTCCAATGTATTTGAAGATGAGATCTTTGGGTCATTAGAATTAGGTGAGGTCATGAGGATGGGGCCCTCATGATGGGATTATTGCCCTTATAAGAAGAGACACCAGAGAGCTTGCTTTATGTCTATTCTCCATGTGAGGATACAACAAAAAGGTATCTGACTAAAATCCAGAAAGGAAGCATCCTCTAGGAACTGAATTGGCTGGCATCTTGATTGTGGACTTCTAAGAAATGTTAGAAAATGAATTTTTGTTGACTAAGCCATCTGGCCCATAGTATTTTATATGGCAGCTTGAGCAGACTAAGACACTGACTTCTACCAAATTGATGTCTTCTCTATTAGATTTTTCTGTAGGAGGTTTTTTTTTTGTTTTGCTTTGTTTTGTTTACCTCTATTAACCTGAAAGTTTTATACTCATTTTTATTCTTATTGTATTTACATTCCATTTTTACTTATTGTATTCTAAGCATTTAATATACAGTTAATGCAACACAATCTAAAGTTAATTTCTATGCCCCTTTTGTTACATTTGCCTTGGTTAAACCACATTCTCCCACATTAAGTATTTATAGTACTCACTTTTGTAAACAAAACTACTTTTTAAAATATTTTTTTCTTATATTTCAATATGTCATTTTAATTTCTTTCTTGATTGATAGTTCTTTGAAATGCTTTCAGCAAAGTTCTATGAGCAGGAAACTCTCTCATTCTTTATCTCAACATAATTTTTTGTACTCCCTCCTTAATATATTTGGGTATGTAAGTTTATTAAAGTAACTACAAGGCAGTGCTTATATTTTAAAGAAAAACTACTGATAGTCTTCTTTAGGTACTTGCATATTTTAATTTTTCTAAGCTGAATATTATTTGTATCATTTCTCAAAAGTTAAAACATACACAAAAGATATAAAATACTTTGATCACTGGCTCATCAAATAAATGCCAAATCTTCATATATTCTGTTCATGTTTATGCAAGATTTTCTTCAAGCAAACCACTGAAGGTGATACTGTTGCCATGGTACCATACCTGGAGTCCCCTTAGATATTAAAATGGTGCAGTCCCCTCATTATAGATTCAGGATTCAGCTGCTGTGGGCTGCATTCATTTGTACAACCTCTCAATGTAAGTGTTGTCCTGCTTTCTGCTTCGCATTAGAAATTCTTCTTCTCGGTGATGGAATGTAGTGTCTGCTTTCATTTGAAACTTGAAGCTGGAGTGTGAAAGAATCATAGTCAGGACCCCTGTACCTGGGAAGTGTGGCTATATCCCTTCTCTACTTCAAAACAGAATTTCTTTTTAATCAAGTGATGCTCCAATTGGCGTTGAAAACAGCATCTGTGCATGGGATGAAAATCCAGAGCACAACCAAGGTCCCCTCTTGAGTCACCAGATTTCCAAGGACAGGTAAAACTTAGATTTCTAGGGAGAGAGCACAGCCAGTGACATTGAGCTAACGTCACTTTTCTAGCTGCTTGGGGAGCTGGTCAGCTGCAGAAATCTGAATTCTGTTCACAATGAGCTTCAGTTAGTCCACATTGCTATTTTATTTTTAGCAGATTATGTTTGGATTCTTGTTCTTTTTGTTGGGTTCAGGTTTAACAACCCCCTTCACCCCCCAGCTTCTATCACACTGCATCCGATCTCCAAATTAGCTCCTTCTCCTCATATTTATAGTCAGTAGATTTCTTTAAGAGGAAACACACACACACACACACACACACACACACACACACACAACCAAACCACTCCTGACATCAAAACCCATTGTTAACAGGCACCTTCAAACTGTTGAAAGAAATTCAACAGAAAGCAGACATTTTTCTTGATATTAAGTATAGTTACACCATTTTCAGGATTCCATTATTAGAAATACCAATGAATAATTCAGCATGAAAAATAAAATTGTGGGACCTCTGCCTCACAGATGTAGGAGCACACACATTAACTCTCATTCACTTCAGCAATATCACTAAGATAGAAAGGGGATTTTTAAATTAAGACAACCTATAAAGACAAAGAGAACAGAAAACTGTAAATCAGGCAGATAAGTGATAATAACTAAGCAGTCAGCTATAAGAATCATCAGCAACCATTTTATTTAGCAACTTCATAATTCCATGCAGCTGGCCCCCAAAAAGTATCAACTTAAGCACTGGATTTGTGTTTTGGTTCTTGGTTTAGCCATTTCCTAACTGAATGACTTGAGCAGATCACTGAAGTTCTCTAAGCCTCAACTTGATTACTATAAAATGGAACATTTTATTCAATCAAGAAATAATTATTGAGCAATCCCCATGGGCCCTGTGGATACAGAAATGAAAAATGTAATCCTTGACTTCAAATCCAAGGCAGGAGGCAAGCAAGAACACAAAGGAGGAATGGAGACTAAGCTTGAGCATCTACTATGGGGGCAGATAATATATCATGTAATGCTCCCAGTAATCCAGTGGTATTACCTTTCCAGTGAAGGAAGTCAATGCTCAGAAAAGCTAAGTAATTGAACCCAAGTTGTACAGTGAAAAGGGACATAGGCTCAAATCTTTCATGCCCCCATGTCAATCTTTCAAAAATGTGCCTCCTTAGAACACCACACTTAGACAAGGAAAAGGTTCAGGCCAGAACCAGTACCTGAGAGGAAGAGAGTGCCAGAAGGGAGTGTTGATCAATGGATTCTGGCCATGGAAAAATCTGGATACTCAGTCCCTATCTCCTATACCAGGATCCTATGGTTGCTCTATTTATAAAGCTTCACTGGGAAATATTTGAGTGTTTACTACATTTCACCAACTGTGCTAAGTACTGAAGGATGTAAAGGTAAAAGCAAATCAAAACAAAAATAAAACAGTTCCTGCTCTGGATAAGCTTACAGTTTATTGGTGAGGACAATCATTATAAAGCATTGAAAATTAAATGATAGATATACCTAACACAACATGCAGGGATGTGGAAGGAAGTAGGGAGAGTCTGCTTTCAGGACACAGGCAAGCTGAGTCTGGAGGAACAAGCAGGGATTAGGAAAAGACTGCAGGTGCAACTAGGTTATATTTTGTGCAATACAGCTGATGTAAAAGAAATTAAATAAGAATGGATTCTGTATCTGTCAGGGTCCCAGTAGGGAAAACATGATTCACTCACCTGGGATTTTTGAAGACACTTCATAGGTGTTTGATTTAAGAGAACCAATGAGAGATACTGAAACACCCAAGGTCTAGCAACAGTGGGAAGCTATTACTATCCCAAGACTTAAAGGGACAGCAAAAGAAATAAAATTACCAGAGATAGGCTGTGAGTTCTGGGAGCCGAGGAAGAACCTATAGTCAAGAAGAGATACAGCCAAAACTTCACAAAGCAGAGAAGAGTAAATGCCCAGACCTCTCACCCCTTCCACTCTTTAATCTTCTGCCAGGGCCTCCCATGGGCCAAATCCACATGCAAATCCAAAGTCTCAGTCTGTAGAGATCAGCCTCCCAGGACATAGAGCAGGCTAAGAATAGCAGAGAATGGAAATGAGGGGGTGGATAAGCTGAACAAGAGAAAATTTGGGAGGAAATAATAAGCCTGTCATCAATATTTAGGTGTCTCTGGGGCATCCATGAAGAGATGCCCAATATATTGTGTGATACAGAAGTTTGGAGCTCAGCAGAAAGTTCTGGGCTACAGAAAGAGAGCTTTA